CAGGCAGGAGAATGGCCGGCCTTGACTGGTGGCTTGGGAGAGCAGGCAGAGAAACCAGAAGCAGCAAAACGGGGTGGGGGTGGTGCCTGGGCAGCTCAGTGCACTCCAGCCTCTATTCACTCCCAAAAGGGAACTGGTTACTTAGTCTGATTGAAAGGTGGGTGGATACAGGTGAGATCACGCAGGAGGCAGAGGTGTGTGGCCTCCAGCTCCTGAGTCTAAACCTATCTCCCTGAAGGTCCCAAATCATTCATACCTCAGATTCCAGACGCTTAATCTTAAAGCGATGCTGAAGGACATAGCATCCCTTTCCCGGGTCTGGAAATGCCTTCCCATCTCATCTAATGAATTCGTTTCATGAGCTGGAAAACCTTCAATCACTATCAATAACTTTTAGAGGCTAGCGTGGTGGCATAGTGGGTAAAGCTGCCACCTGCAGTGCCGGCATCCCATATGGGTGCCAGTTTAAGTCCTGGCTGCTCCACTTCTGATCCAGCTCTCTATGGCCTGGGAAAGCAGTAGAAGATGGCCCAAATCCTTGGGCCCCTGCACCCATGTGGGAGACATGGAAGGAGCTCCTGACTTTGGATCGGTCTAGCTCCGCCTGTTGCAGCCATCTGGGGAGTGCCTCTCTGTAACTCTGCCTTTCAAGTAAATCTTAAAAAATTTAAATATTTCTGCTTAAACTCATAATACAGCTATAACACAAAAACAATAGCTCTTTACAGTCTCTGTAAGTTATAGAAATATAAAAAGTTCCTGAGACCAAAAAGTTTGAGAACTGTTATGCCAGGTCTTCTCTGAAAGCCTTTATTTTGACCAATTTTCATAACAAATTTGCAGTTCAAAATTTTTTAATTAGGGCCAGCACTGTGGCGTAGCAGGTAAAGCCACCACCTGAAGTGCTGGCATCCCATATAGGCACCAGTTCTAGTCCGGGCTGCTCCTCTTCGCATCCAGCTCTCTGCTCTGGTCTGGGAAAGCAGTAGAAGATGGTCCAAGTCCTTGGACCTCTGGGAGACCAGGAGGAAACTCCTGGCTCCTGGCTTCAGATCAGCGCAGCTCTGGCCATTGCAGCCAACTGGGGAGTGAACCAGCAGTTGGAAGACCTCTTTCTCTCTCTCTGCCTCTCCTTCTCCCTCTGTGTAGTTCTGACTTTCAAATAAATTAATCTTTAAAAAAAAAAATTCCAAAGTAGCCTGATATGCTGAAGTAAACATTTCATGATGTGCTGCATCTATTACATTCACAGCATTTTTAAACATAAAAAACAAGGACCATGAAAATATTATTTTGATCAAATGACCACACTCCTAGAAATTTAAAACCATTAATCTCAAAGAATATAACATGATTGCATCTTCTTTTTACATTTGTTTGAAATAATACATGCTATGGTGATAAGCCATATTATTACACCACCCAGAGTTTAACAGGAGTGAATGACATTCACTGGAATGGATACGTGGTCTTCTGGTTGTGTTCCATTATCTTGTATTTCTCAGCTGTTCATTTACTGATAAAATCTGAGCTTTTCAAGTTTGTCCTTTGCTCAACGATCTCATGAAAGCCTGAGGGAAATTTTTCCTGGTCATTTTTGTTGGATGACAGTGAGAATTCATGTTTTAAAATTTTCCTTGGTTCAAATAATTTGGAATTAAATTAAAAATTTAGGGGGCCAGTGCTGTGATATAGTAGATTAAGCATTTGCCTGCGGTGCTGGCATCCCATATGGGCTTGGGTTTGAGTCCTGGCTGCTCCATTTTCTGATCCAGCTCCCTGCTAATGGCCTGGGAGAGCACTAGAAGATGGCTCAAGTGCTTGGGTCCCTGCACCCATGTGGGTGACCCGGAAGAAGCTCCTGGCTTCAGAGAGGCCCAGCTCTGGCCATTGTATCCTTTGGGGAGTGAACTAGTGGATGGAAGACCTCTCTTTCTCTCCATCTCTCTGTTAGTCTGCCTATCAAATAAATAAATCTTAAAAAAAAAAAAAGAAAGAAAAAGAAAAGAAATTTAAACCACTTCCCAGTTCATTTAAGAAATACAATGATCAGCTATAAGCTCTTAGTCAATTTGAGAAAAAAAGTAAAGGATGAAATCATCGTATTTTATAGTATCTAAGTGAATAAGATTAGCTAATATTGTTAATTTGAGACTATTCTCAAAGAAAATTAGTGCTTAATTTAAAAAGGTATGGAGATTTGTTATGAAATTCAACATTACTTCAAAACATTTATGGGAAAATGGAATTAAAAGATGTTTATTTTTCATTGCAAAAAACTTTGAAATGCATGTGTAGTTTTTTCATAATACACATTTCCACAATCATTTTGAAGACCCTTCATGTTAGACATTACTGTAATATAACTGGGGACTTGGAGAAAGATATTTCATGGGAGGATATGTGTTCTCTTAAAGGATTTATGCCTTAAGATAAACTGTCTAGAATATTTAATGCTGAACTTAAAAATATAATTCAAGGCTAGAATAATAAATATATTACTATTTTCTCACTTAATTCATGTTGCTCAAACAATATGAATTTACCAGACAAATTAAGAAATAGTCAATTATGAAATCTTTTGGTTTTACAATATGATCTAGGATTTTTCTTGCCTTCCCAAGGAATTGGTTCTATTTATTCCTTTCCTGAATCAGTAGTACCTTTTCCTCTCCTGGATCATTCTCATCCATAGATAGACAAGCTTTGCTGTTTGCCATAAAATGAACAAAATCTATTTTGAAACTATTTCCCCATCAGCCACTGCAACCCTTCCCAATACAACTTACCAAAAAATAGCTCATAGTTACTATCTGCACACTGCAATTCACTTTTCTAAATTGTAGTAAAATATACACAAAACTTGCCTGTTTGGGGCTGGCACTGTGGTGCAGTGGGTTAAGCCTCTTGTAATGCCAGTATCCCATATGGGCACAGGCTGCTCCACTTCCGATCCAGTTCCCTGCTAATGTTCCTGGGGAAGCAGCAGATGACCCAAGTGCTTGGGCCCCTCTGCATCCACTTGGGAGACCCAGAAGAAGCTCCTGACTCCTGGTTTTGGCCTGGCATAGCCCTGGCTATTTCAAGCCATTGCGGAGTGAACCAAATGGAAGCTTGCTCTAACGCTGCCTTTCAAATAAATAAATCTTAAAAAAAAAATTACCACTTTAACCATTTTTTCTTTTTCTTTTTTCTTTTTAGAAGGCTTCTTTTTTTTTTTTTATTTTTATTTTTTTGACAGGCAGAGTGGACAGTGAGAGAGAGAGAGACAGAGAGAAAGGTCTTCCTTTTGTTGGTTCACCCTCCAATGGCTGCCGCGGCCAGCGTGCTGCAGCCGGCACACCGCGCTGATCCGATGGCAGGAGCCAGGTACTTGGGCCATCCTCCACTGTACTCCCTGGCCACAGTAGAGAGCTGGCCTGGAAGAGGGGCAACCGGGACAGAATCCGGCGCCCCGACCGGGACTAGAACCCGGTATGCCGGCGCTGCAAGGCGGAGGATTAGTCTAGTGAGCCGTGGCGCCGGCCAGAAGGCTTCTATTTAATGAATACACATTTCATATGTACAGCTTTTAGGAATATAGTGGTTCCTCCCCCCATTCCCACCCTCCCACACCCACTCCCATTGCACCTACTCCCTCTCCCATCCCATTCTTCATTAAGTTTCATTCTTAATTGACTTTATATACAGAAGACCAACTCTATACTAAGTAAAGATTTCAACAGTTTGCACCCACACAGACACACAAAGTATAAAGCACAGTTTGAAGACAAGTTTTACCATTAATTCTCACAGACTCCTCATTAAGGACAGAGGTCCTCCATGGGGAATAAGTGCACAGTGACTCCTGTTGTTGATTTAACAATTGACACTCTTATTTATGACATTTAGTGATCACCTGAGGCTCTTGACATGAGCTACCAAGGCTAAGGAAGCCTTCTGAGTCCACAAACTCCACAGGTGTTTAGACAGGGCCTTAAGCAAAATGGAAGTTCTCTCCTCCCTTCAGAGAAAAGTACCTCCTTCTTTGATGGCCCCTAATCCACTGGGATCTCACTCACAGAGATCCTTCATGCAGAACAGTTTTTGCCAGTGTCTTGGCTTTCCATGCCTGAAATGCTCTCATGAGATTTTCAGCCAGATCCAAATGCGTTAGGGCTGATTCTGAGGTCAGAGTGCTGTTTAGGACATTTGTCAGTCTGCGAGTCTGCTGCGTGGACTGCTTCCCATGTTGGAGCTTTCTCTCCTTTTCAGTTGTATCTATTGTTATTACCAGACACTTGGTCTTATTTATGTGATCTCTTTGACACTTAATCCTATCTATATGATCAGTTCCACACTTAATATGATCACTTTATCAAATAAGATGGGATTAGTACCACCCAGCCTAATGGGCTTTGGAGTCCCATGGCAAGTTTTTAGCTTCACCCTTAGGGGTAAGTCCCTGGGAATGTGTGCCTAAACCAGTTTAACCATTTTTAAGTATATGATTAGTAGTATTAAGTATATTCACATTACTAGGCAACCATTGTGACCATCCATCTCCAGAAATTTTGTCTTCTCAATTAAAATCCACATCCATCAATCAGTAATTTCCTATTCCCCATTCCTCCCAGCTCTGATAACCAGCATTCTACTCTGTCTCTAAGGATTTGAGTGATCTCGGGTCCTCACGTGAGAAGAATCATACAGTATTAACCTTTTGTGTCTGGCTTATTTCATGCAATGTCCTCAAAGTTTGTCCATGTTGAAACAGGTGTCAGAATTTCATTCGTTTATAAGGCTGAATAATATTCCATTTTGTATCTGCACAATATTTTATCCGTTCATCTGTTAGACATTTGCATTGCTTCCCCTTTTGGCTACTGTGAATAATGTTGTTAAGTGCATAAATACCACGGGTGTATATATACCTATTTGAGTCTCTGTTTTCAATTATTTTGGGCATATGCCTGGATCATATGGCACTTAATTTTTTTTTTTTTTTTTTTGACAGGCAGAGTGGACAGTGAGAGAGAGAGAAACAAAGAGAAAGGTCTTCCTTTGCCATTGGTTCACCCTCCAATGGCCGCTGCGGCCGGCGCACCGCACTGATCCGATGGCAGGAGCCAGGTGCTTCTCCTGGTCTCCCATGGGGTGTAGGGCCCAAGCACTTGGGCCATCCTCCACTGCACTCTCTGGCCACAGCAGAGAGCTGGCCTGGAAGAGGGGCAACCGGGACAGAATCCGACGCCCCGACTGGAACTAGAACCCAGTGTGCTGACGCCGCAAGGCGGAGGATTAGCCTAGTGAGCCGTGGCACGAGCCGACACTTAATTTTTTGAGGAACTACCATACATCAGTGACTGTGTCACTTACATTCCCACCAACAGTGCACAAGGGTTCTAATTTCTCCATATCCTGACCAATACTTGTTTTCCATGTTTGGGTTAATGTCCATCTTCTACTGTGAGAAGTAGCATCTAGTGATTTTGATGTGCACTTCTGTAGTGATAAGTGATTTTAAACATCTTTTCATGTACTTAGTGGCTCTTTGTAAATTTTTCTTGGGGGGAATGTTTTGTTCAAGTCCTGTGCTCATTTTAAAATTGTCATTTTGTGTGTGTGTGAGAGTTGTTAATGTCTTTATATATTTTGGATTTTAATCCTTTATCACATGTATTATTTGCTAATATTTTCTTTCTGTGGGTTGCCATTTCATTCTTCATTGTGTCTTTTTACATACTCATTTTAAATTTAATGACGTTTAATTTTCTTTTGCTGCCTATGCTTTTGGTGTCCTATCCAAAAAGTCATTGCCAAAAACAATACCAGAGAGCTTTTGCCCTATGTTCTCTTCTAAGATCTTTGTAGTTTTAGCTTACATTTCTATCTTTGATCCATTTTGGGATAATTTTGTATACAGTGTAAAGAATGGGTTCAACTTCATCCCTAGCACCATTTGTTGTCAAGACTGTCCTTTCTCCCACTAAATGGTCTTAGCACCCTTGTGGCAAGTCATTTGACCATGCTTCTGACCTCTTTATTCTAGTTCATTGGTCTGTATGTCAGTCTTTTTGTCACTACCACACTGTGTTAATTCCTATAGCTTTGTAGTAATTGGTTTTATTTTAAATTCTGGTTTTATTGTATGTGATAAGTGAGTGTTGTGTGTAATATATCCATTTTATGAAACACAGATTTTCCTTTGTGCCCTACTATCATTTTTGGAAATGTTACATGTACACTTTAGAAGAGTTATACTCTGTATTATCAGAGCATAGTGAGTTTGTGTATGAGAGAGAGAAACGGCAGGTACACAAGAGGGCTTGCACACTTCCATCTGCTGGTTCACCCTGTAAATGCCTGCAACAGCCAGGCCTGCCAGGGCAAAGCTGGGAGTAGTGATCATTGAATAACACTGTGAGTATAATTAATGATGCTGAATTCAACACTTAAAATGAAAAAAGGTTGTTATCTACAATTTACCAAAATTTTAAGGAAAATGTAATATACTTTAAATGAATGAACTGCATATTATGTGAATTATGTCTCAATAAAGTTGTGGGAAAAGCTATGTATACAGTGAAGTTAGAATTTGCTACATAAATCAAGTCAAAGAGAACTGGTCTAGTCCTTGGCAACTTGTTTAAACACCTTGCATTCTTTGTCTCTAGTACTCAGTAAATATTTTAAAGTGATTAAATAAACTCATTAGTTTATGAGTAGACAACTTAAATACAATGTGTATAATTCTATCTGGTACCTGGCTCTGAGTTTCCAAGTTTCAGTTGGCAATCTGATAACAATTGTGGTCTCCATCCTCTGGAAATGTCCAGAACTTTCATGTTGCAGTTCTCCATTCTAAAATTACACTTAAAAGAAATGTACATTTGGTCAATCTTTTCCCTGTCTGGTGTCTGGAATTTGGTCCAGAAGGGAAAATCACTTACTTTCTGATATGAAAGTCTAAAGACCTGGCAGGTGTCAGGACACAGACCAAAATTCCGACCATTCCCTAAATCTTCTACTTTGGAGATACAGAGAGAACATGAAAGACACAAGCCCTAAAATAGAAATTAAGAATACTCATGGTATTATGCAAGTAACAGTAAATATTTATTTTCAGGTAAATTATCTTATTCAAAATGGCTTTCAAATATACCTCCCCAATTGCCAGTTTACTCTCTCCCACATTACAATCTATGATAACATGGATATAAAATGACATCTAGAAATAATCCAGTAAAATAATAAATGTATACATTTATATTTTCAAGCAGAACATAAAACTGCTCTCCATGTTATCCCTACATGTGTGTCAGCTAGCCAATTGGCATTTCATAGAGGAGCTGCAACTTTGGGAGTTGACTCAGTGAAAGAATTGTTGCTGTGGGTTTACCATGGAGTTTGGTAATTAGAGCAAGGTCAAGGTACTGTCTTTTGCTTGAGTATAAAGACTGAAAGTCAGATGTCATCCATAGGGCAAAGGAATTAGATCCAAGGTCTTGGAGTTCCCAAAGCATATATTAATAAAGGCATCTGCTTGGGTGACTGAGATGAATGGAACATTCTCAGGAGCAACTGCTCTGGGAATAAAAGCAAAGATTTCCAAAGAAAATGCCTTCACTTTTCCATCATTACATAAGCATTTTCAGAAGAGAAAATCCAAATGGCCATCTTAAGTATTAAAGTGATCATATTGTGTTAAAATGATCATATAGATAGGATTAAGTGTTAAAGGGATCATATAAATAAGATCAAATGTCTGGTAATAATAGATAGAATTAAAAAGGAATGCTCCAGCATGGGAAGCAGTCCACAAAGCAGACTCATAGAATGACAATTGCTTTAAATAGCACTCTCCTCAGAATCAGCCCTTAAAGCATTCTGGTCTGGCTGAAAAGCCCATGACAGCATTTCAGGCATGGAAAGCCAAGACACTATGGCAAAAAAATGTTCTACATGAAGGATCCCTGTAAGACCCCAGTGGTAAGAAGTGGCCATCAAAGAAGGATGTACTTTTCTCTGAAGGGAGGAGAGAACTTCCACTTTGCTTATGGCCTTCTATAAATACTGAGGGAGATTGTGGATTCAAAAGGTTCCCATAGCCATGGCAGCTCTTGTCAAGAGCCTTGGGGGATTACTGATGTCGTACATACAAGTGTTAATTGTCAAATCAACAACAGGAGTCATTGTGCAATTACTTCCCATGCAGGACCTCTGTCCCCAATAAGTTGTATTATGAGAATTGTTCTCAAACATTTACGTATGTTTGTACAAATTGTTGAAATCTTTACTTAGCCTAGAGTTGGTCTTCTGCATATAAAATTAATTGAAAACAAATCTTAATGGAGAATGGGACTGGGAAAGGAAGGAGGAGGTAGGGTGGGAGGGTAGGAACGGTGGGAGGAATCACTCTATTCCTAAAGTTGTACTTATGTAATTTGTATACGTACCTTAAATAAAAGGCTTTGTTGGGGAAAAAAAAAAAAAGGAACTGCATGAGGTCAAGGTCAGATAGAATTTTATGGCTGACGAAAATAAAGCAAAGACGTTAACATTTCTTCCTTGCTCAAAGTCACAGAGATAAGAACATAATTTTAGACGCTCTGCTACACACCTGCCCAAAATACCAGAGGCAACAGGAACACAGCTCCTCTCGACTACTTTCATACCACTTAACTTCACATCTGCAGGGTCTTAGTCCACCCTATCGAGGATGGACTGGGTCTGAAGAAAGGTAAGTGCGCAGCTCGCCCGTTCCCCAGCCTCCCAATCCCGGAGACAGTCAGATGCAGCAGGGAGTCAAGTCAAGCAAGCAAGAACTCGGTTTACTGCGCGTGTAGCAAAGCATTTTAAAACACAAGACCACAGGGTTACTGGGGCAGGGCATAAGGACCAACCAATTACTTAAAAGGTCATTTTATGGGGCAACTTTTTACAGGACCAGCCACATGTCTGTACACTCATCATCAGTTGTCGTCACCTCCCCTGATGCTGCGCAGCCAATCAGCTTTGGTGGTAAGCGACTTTGGGTACTGCCCACCTTACTTCCTTTGGGCACCATCTTTGAATTGTCCCGTGTGCCTAATTTCCCTGCAGGCACCATCTTTGAATTGCCTCCTGTGCCTAATTTCCCCACATACATCCTCTGCCCTTTCCTTCAGCAGCTATTCCTCTTCACTTGAGTCCTTTGTATGCTGCACGGTAGCATGACCTCACAGAGCCAACAGACTGAAATCTCCAGGGGGAAGGCTGGGCTTCCTTTTTTTTTGTTTTTGTTTGTTTTAACTTCCTAGGTGACTGTAATGTGCAGCCAGCCTTGTGAACCCTTTAGAGCTGTAGTTCTTAAAAAGTGCAGATCCCAGGCGGAGCTATGCCTTGGTGGGTAAAGCCACTGCACAGCATCCCTTATGGGAGCCAGTTTGAACCCCAGCTGCTTCACTTCCAATCCAGCTCTCTGCTATGGCCTGGGAAAGCAGTAAAAGATGGCCCAAGTGCTTGGGCCCTGCACCTGCATGGGAGACCAGGAGGAGGTGCCTGACTCCTGGCTTCCGATCCGCACAGCGTGCCAGCTGCAACACGCCGGCAGTGGTGGCCACTTGGGGGGTGAGCCAATGGAAAAGGAAGACCTTTCTCTCTGTCTCTCTCTCTCTCACTAACTCTGCCAGTCAAAAAAAAAAAAATTTAAAAAAAAAAAAAGCTGCAGGTGATTCTGATGCAGCCTCCCCTGCCCTGCCAGAAACCTTTTATTTAAGGAATACAAACTTCAAACATTTCATAATTACAACTTTAGAAACATGGTGATTCTTCTCACTGTGTCTGCCCTCCTACCCACTCTCTCATCTCTCTACCTCTTCCCTCTCTTATTCCCGTTCTTGTTTTTTACTAAGATCTATTTTCTTTTCTTTTCTTTTTTTTCTCTTGTACCCGCAGGACGTGATAGCCTTCCGTGCCCCCGCCTGGGATCTTGACGCTCTGCGAGGAGCCCATGGCGCCAGGCGATCGGTGCAGCCGAGCCAGGCGCTGCTCTGCTCCCCGCCCCTCCGCACCACCTGCTCCCTCCGCGTAGCACTTGGGACGTGGCACTCGCAGCCGCCAGAGAACTAAGATCTATTTTCAATTAACTTTATACACATATGATTAATTATGTTAAGAGTTCAACAAATAGCATGAAAAAAAATACAAAACTGTTCAACAGTTGAGACAAGGGCTGCTCAAAGTCATTGCTTCTCAAACCGTCCATTTCACTTCCATAGTTTGCCTTTTATAGGTGCTCTATTAGTTATAACAGGTCAGGGAAACATAGTATTTATTCTTTAGGGACTGGCTTATTGCATAAAGTATGATGTTTTCCAGTTTCATCCATTTTATTGCAAATGACGATTTTTTTTTACCACTATGAAGTATTCCATGATGTATTTATCCCATAATTTCTTTATCCAGTCTTCAGTTGACAGGCATTTGGGTTGATTCCATAGCTTAGCTATTGTGAATGGAGCTGATGCAGCCTAACTTTTGAGAACCATTGTCTCTGGAGGGGTACTTTGGGAAATTTCCTGTGTATTTGAACCATTAGGAGATTCGCTCAAATGCAGATTCTGCCTTTTGGGATGAAACATGACAGAGTTTCTAAGAAGCTTCCAGAAGATGTTCACCTACTGCCACTTTTTGTTTGTTTGTTTTGACAGGCAGAGTGGACAGTGAGAGAGAGAGAAAGGTCTTCCTTTGTCGTTGGTTAACCCTCCAATGGCTGCCACGGCCAGTGCACTACGCTGATCTGAAGGCAGGAGCCAGATACTTATCCTGGTCTCCCATGGGGTGCAGGGCCCAAGAGGGGCAACTGGGACAGAATCCAGAATCCGGCGCCCCGACCGGGACTAGAACCTGGTGTGCCGGAGCCGCAAGGTGGAGGATTAGCCTCTTGAGCTGCGGTGCCGGCCTTTTTTTTTTTTTTTTTTTTTTTTTTTTTAAGATTTATTTATTTGAAAGGCTGTTAAAGAGAGGCAGAGGCAGAGAAAGAGAGGTGTTTGTCTGTTGATTCACTCCCCAAATGGCAGCAAAAGCTGGAGCTGGACCATTCCGAAGCCGGGAACCCAGTGCTTCTTCTGTGTCTCCCATGTGGTGCAGGGGCCCAAGCACTTGGGCCATCTTTCACTGCTTTCCCAGGCACATTATCAGGGAGCTGGATCTGAAGTGGAACAGCCGGGAATCAAACTGGTGCCCATATGGTATGCCCGGATTGCAGGTGGCAACTTTTATCTGCCATGCCACAGTGCCAGCCTCTGCTTTTTTTTTTTTTTTTTTTTGGTAGAATTATCCAGTTACTGAATATATTGAAACCGTACAACCTCAGGGCCGGTGCCATGGCTCACTTGGTTAATCCTCTGTCTGCGGTGCCAGCAACCCATATGGACACCAGGTTCTAGTCCTAGTTGCTCTTCTTCCAGTCCAGTTCTCTGCTATGGCCCAGGAGGGCAGCAGAGGATGGTCCAAGTGCTTGGGTCTGTGCACCCACATAGGAAACCAGGAGGAAGCGCCTGGCTCCTGGCTTCAGATCGGCACAGCACCAGCCCTGGCGGCCATTTGGGGAGTTAACCAACGGAAGGAAGACCTTTCTGTCTCTCTCTGTCTGTAACTCTGTCAAATAAAAAAAATAAAAAGAAAGAAGAAACTGTACTACCTCAATGGAAGAAATCTACATACAATAGACTTTCATTATTTACATTTTCTTCTAATTGACATAATGTAGTTAGTTTGCATATTAGCTCCTTTGGTCCTGATAAAAACCTTTTTGGGTTTTAGTCCAAAATTTCTAGTTTAAACTGTTTTCCAAGTGTGCTATACAGTCATGGTTTATAGGGTTCTACCTATAAGAAAAGAAAGAAAAAAAAAAAAGACTATTTCTGACTTGGGTGTTTCTTGTCTAAAATGGCCAAAATGTACCTTTTCCCTTTGTCTCATCTGTCATAATCCTTCCTTCCTTTTATGAACTCAGTTTCTATAGACACCTCTACACAGGACCCAATTCCCAGTCCAGTTGTTTTCATTCTATTAACTAGTGTAAGTGTAATCAAATCCAGTATTGAGTCATGCAACATTCACATAGCTGTGGACTTAAGAATATCTGTTTTCTTCAGATCTCATTCATTTTGGGGAAAACTGATTCTTGTTATACAGATACTGACACTATTCTGCTAGAGTCTCCTTTACCTATTTCTGCCTTACCTTTTTTGGGGAATAATATACATATCCAGGGCAAATGTGGGTACATTAATAAAACATGACATATTTCCTGTATTTAGAGTAATATCTCTTGAAAAAAAAACCAATTAACTTTAAAATAACTTTTATTGTGAAATATAAAACATTTGGAAATGATTTTTAAACTTTCAGTTACAACATTAATTCAATAATCTTTATGAGAAAGCACCACATTAAAAAGATACATTCATAAGAAACAATCTAAAATGCATATGCTAAAATGATTTAATAATAATTACATTAGCAAGTTATGAAATTCAGAAACCTCTTGTATCACAGATCTAAATTAGGGATCTCAAACTTGGGTTTCTTCTGGGCTAAGTAGGAAAGACTGAAGTTATTTGATAGTAAGAGGTGAATCCTGTGGACTGTGACAAACTTGGGAATGCATGCCCAATTTAAAGACTTCAAATTCAAGATTTCTGTCAACCTTAGGTATGACAAATAAAACAATGGTGGCCCATAGTGGCCTGTGGACTACCAGCTTGTAACTTTGGTCTAAGTGAATTTCTAACATCTTTTGTACCTAATCCTCAAAATGGCAGGGAGCACTTCTTTGAAGACCCATTTATATACAGTTGGCTTTCAGCATCAGTGGGTTCCATACCCTCAGACTCAACCAACTGCAAATAAAAAATATTCAAAAAAAAGAAATGCATTTGTATTGAACATGTACAGACCTTTTTTGACATTATTCCTTAAATAATATGGTACAACAACTATTTACATAGCATTTACATTGTAGTAGGTATTATGAATAATGTAGAAATGAACAGTTTTATTTAAGGGAACTGAGCATCCACAGATTTTGGTGTCTGGGGGTGGGTATGGGAAATAATCCCCCATGGATATCAAAGGGCAACTATGTGTGTGTATGTATGTGTGTGTGTGGGGGGGGGTGTTTTGGGTGGTGGTTTTGTGTGTGTGTGTGTGTGTTGCATGTACTGGAGAATACTTAAGCCACTATTCTGGGGGAGTGGATTAAAAATTCTAAAAAAAGGTATTTTGCACTTTGAATTAAAGCTGAAATATGTAGTTAGGAGATGAAATTTTTAAAAATATATTTTATTTGGCAAAATGAATTATACTTAAGAGTTAATTAAAACTAGGTTGAAATTTCATTTTTTAATAGAAGTTCACATATCATGGTAGTTATTGCTTAATAAGATATGTTCAGGTGAAAAATAATAAAGGGTTGATTTTACCAAAGCCACTGTTCAGAAAGCATTCAATCATATCACCTCACTATATACACATATAAGAAAAACACTACAACTTAGTTGATAATAGTTTTACTTAATCTTTAAAGTTTATGGTTTGAACATGTAAAACTGTATAGCTCAAAGGCTGTGCTGTGTTGGTCTGCTTTAAAGAAGTTATTTATTTGTTTGCCATCAATGACTTCACATTTATAATATTTAAAGAGTTGTGGAAAATTAAGATGATAGAGGCATCAGAGTGACAAAATCTTTAAAAAGGCTAAAAAGGCACATTTTAATTCAAATATCCTTATGAGAACAAGAATGTCTTTTTTAAAATTCAGACAATGCAGATGTCGAACAAACTAAACACACTTACTCCAAACTTTCACAACACTGCCCAAAATTTTCTACTTTTTTCTTTAACACTTTCAGCTTTCAGCTAGAGAAATTTGACATAAAAAGAAAGCACCAAATCTAGCCATTTAATCCCCCATTTTCAAAAGTGAGTAGTCATAGAAAACTTTAATCTTTTCTGTAAAATGAAGTTTATATGGGTCAAATAAATTTCATATATGGCTATTAAATTCTGAAGTTAAAAAGCCAAAGCTGTTAAAGTAGTTGGGCTAAAATAAAGTTGGATACTTAGCAAACCTAAGAGTACATTTACAGCATACTATATAGTATCTGTTAACTGATGCAACAGCCTGCTATTAGTTCCATTTTTCATGAATTGAAACTTTTTAAGTAGTAGAAATGTGCTTGACATTTTTCCTAATAGAATTTTTGGTAAAATTTTAAAGTCTAATGAAGTCTAATGCATTTTTTCTGCATTTCAAAACTTACTTCAATTATTAAAAACACTTAGCTATGAAACAACCAGGAGTTTTCCAAATAAGTGAACACTGATTTTATACATCAAAACTATAATATGTATTACAGAAAATTAAAGTTGAAAACAAGATTTTATATTTATCATGCTTCCAAAAATGAAATAGGTATGTTTTTCAAATCGAGTCAACAGCTGAAATGTCATATAAAAGTATACAGTACAAAAAAAGTATACAGTACAAGCTGACTTATTACAATCTTAGTCTGATTTAACAATTCTATTAAAAACCAAAAGGGTTCTATGCATATAAATGAATAAATTATTCACAATTAAAATTAAAGTTTTCATAAATTGTAACAAATTAGGTATTGAGTATATGGGATTCCCACCAATAATAACAAATTACTTCAATGTTATTTAATTCAAATATTATTTCAACATTTTCAAATATAGTTTACAGTTCATCTGTAACAATGAATTCAAAACTAAATTGACAGAAATCAAATATATAATGTTATCTTCTTGTTCTTCACAGCATCATAGGATAAAAATTCCTTTTGTGAGAAACATGATGGTTGTGCAGGTTACATATAGTGATCCAATTAGTTAGCATATTTGTGAAGGAAGCGTTCAAATGCATCATAGATGGCTTGTCTAAAATTAAATATGAAAAAACTACAAGTAATTAGCAAAAAAGTGGAACAGACAACACACTTTAAGTTGTTTCCAAAATTATCTGTAGAAAGCAAGCATTTATCCTATTGGTTAAGACATTTGCATCCTTTGTCAGTATACCTGGGTTCAATTCCCAGCTCCAGCTCTTGAGTCCCATTTCCTGCCAACACAAACCCTAGGAGGCAGAGTTGATGGCTCAACTGAAGTAACTGGTTTCCTGACACCCTTGTGGGAGATTTG